AAACTGAAATTAAATTTACTGCTAGTCTAAGCTCCAGGATCTATGAATTTTATTGGGAGATTGAAACTAATGTTTTTTGTATTGATATAACAACACATACTCCTGTTTGTTTACAGGTGCACTCTTAAATTGTTCTTGAAGCTTTTTTTGGTCTTAGACCATTACTGTATTAGTTTTATTAGTAGTGTGTGCACATATGTATACAATAGAGCAGAGGAAGAGGGGTGCAGTGCCCTGATACCTACGAGTGGCACCCTCTTACTGAATTGCTAATTGAACTTTAAAGTCAAAATATATTTCTTGAGCCATGCACTTCCATGCTGCCGTACGACATAAAATCTTTCTCAAATTTTTCCATGAAAACTTCCCAGCAACACCAGCTGACAATGTATCTGGACACCAAATACACTAAAATTACTCCAAAAACATCTCAATGGCGATAGATACACCGTTAAAACGGCGCAGAAACCTTACGATGTGGCGTTTCTAGGTTGATTCGCCATGTTGCTTCTGTGCTAGCTTCTCTCACTCTGCTCCCTCACCTGTGTGTGCTCCCTCTTTTTCATTTTTTCTAGAAAAACCCCTGATAGAGGTATTTCTTAGGTCAAAATATGTCATAAGTTAATATCCAGTATCGTATACAATAAATGCTAAAAAACACTAAATCACTTTATTTTTATCAGAGACAAATTCCTGCAAGTAAGTGAACATTGTCAAATTTTGTAGTAGTGAAAATGTTGCTTAGGTGCTATGTTTGAGAATGTCAAAATTTTGTCTTCATGTTTGATTTGCAGAAATGTATGCACTAAACGATTTTCAGCCTGTCTAAGTATTGGTCAGTGTTTTGCTGTTCCATGAATAGCTTTCAAAGCATTGAATATGTAGCATAACAGTGTGCAATAAAAAAACTATATATGTAAAGGTGATTGCAAGAAAGAATAGAACTGCAATATACATGTATAACTACATTATAAAAGTGTTGCTACAGTTAGCAATGACTACATTGTGAGCTATATAGCATTAGCAAAACAGTGTATCATACTGGAATATTACCATCCCATTCTTCCTTGCAGTCACAGTAAAATCAAGGACTCATTGTAACTTTGATTTGGATGAGTAAACATAGTTTGATTTATTTTCAATAATTTTCAACTTTTGGAATAATTTGTGTAATATTGCTCTTTGTCATAACCCTAATCCTAAGTTAGAGAACCACAAGAAATTGGATATTTGGATACATGTATATGGTGTTTAGTCAGGCAAATATTGTATTCCATCAATAGTAGTATTGCCAAATAAGCTGCAGGTAAATGAACTTTTATGAACTAAGCTCAAAGATAGATCTAATATATAGATCTATGTACACTGATATTCACAATAGATGCACCAATAAGTAATGAAACAAATTAGTGTAGTGAATAATGATTTTTTTTCTCGTCATCACTTCGGCTCAAAATGTTTTCTGTTATTGCCAAAGTATTTGTGAAAACAGATAAAAAAAAGTTATTTTCAATGCCACTAATAAGTCTTGCATCATTGCATTATCTTTACTGCATAGTGTGCAATATTTTAACCTAAAGGTTAACTTGGTTAGGTCAAGGGGGCAGTCAGGTGTTACTATTGTTCTCTTGCTTTATTTCTTATTTTGTGTAATGCTTCACAAAGTCCATTGGTCAGTGCAATGACCTGTTGTAAGGAATATGACCAGTAACATTGTTCATGGGTTACCTCACCTTTATATATTAGGACAAAAAAAAAGAAAAATATTTATACGTTTTCGATAACTTTACTTGACATACAATTTATTGTGTACCCTAATAATTTCTCTGCAAATAATTAAAAAATGGTGGGGAATCAAAAAGGTTTCCATGTGAATTAAACAAACTTTTAGGCAATTTTGAAAAAAGTGTCACAGTAAACATTATTTAAGTAATACTAACCTTGATTTTATTTGAGGGATGGGGGTTAGTTGCTGAACTTTGATTTGCATAAGCCTCATCTTAACCATAAGTACTTCCATACGAATTTCATTTTGAGACAAATTGTCATAGTACCCGGTATATGACAAAATCACAGTAGTTTTCATAGATTTTAAAATTCATATCCAGAATACACACTGCTCTTACCACTGTCAACAAATATGAATAAAAAAAAAATATTGAAAAAGTTAGCTTCACTATTTTAGTTTTTTGCATTTATATGATTGCTATTATATCAATGGCTTGGTTTGTGTACAGAAATGCAGCATTCATGTTTGCTCCTGTACATGAACAGAGTGCATGGCTTATTTAACAATCTATGCAAATTTATAATGAAATTCATGATGTCATCAATGGGCTGATGTTAGTTACCCATGATGCACTAGCATGAAAAGGAGGTCACTTTTTAGACTCTTCCATTTTCTTCATGGGGTTTCTCAGGTTGATGAATGATGGGAAAATGTTTGTTTTCCCAAAAATTTCTTTTGTATTCTTTCAAAGTACTTTTATATGAAAACATTTCTAACTAAATCCAGTTATAAATGACTTGACAAACATGACAGTTCAGTTTGTTAAATCTTCTCATAAACTGTTTGCAATGGTCCTTTCTGTCATTGTATGTTAATTAGATTATATGGTACCAGGCTTTAAAGTATTGCATCAGTTATTATTATTGTTTTTTACCTTTCCCCTAATTCTAACAACATATTGCAGTAAGTCATGCCATTGCACTTACATTGTACAATGAAACTCTTTCAGAAGAAAATTTTCTCTGCAGTAAAGTTTTGTCATCGAATGAAACCAACAAAATTGAAATTTTCTAAAAAGTTTGGTGTTTTAGGGTGTAAATTTTCTAGATCACTTAAAGAAAACTGTTCATATATGGCTGAGGTTGTTGTTCTTTTTACTGCTTAAACAACGTCATGGTGATAAACAAAGGGTAAGACTGATCTTTGTTTTCTATCGTTCTCTTTAGAACTGCTCTTCTATCTAAGTTTTACCGGTACATATTATAAACAGTGTCATTACCAACATTGCCATTATTGTTAGAAGGAATCAGTCAACCAATCAAATGTTATCTCATCAGTATCTCATACTATTAACCATTTCAGACAAAGTGCAAAATAAAGCATACTTATTTAACATTATTTTGCAAAGAAAATGCTTCAGAAATCCTTTTATTGGTGTGTCCCAGAAGCTTTCTCTAAAAGATGACAGGTGTCTAATTTAGTCAGCTCTTCATGTCAACCTAAATGTCACCAGTGTGACAGTCAGTCTAAGTTGATACATGTGTGCTGTACCACTATTGTACAGTCAGTCTAAGTTGATACATGTGTGCTGTACCACTATTGTACAGTCAGTCTAAGTTGATACATGTGTGCTGTACCACTATTTGTACAGTCAGTCTAAGTTGATACATGTGTGCTGTACCACTA